CCCCGGATAAGTATTAAAAAAATTTTTGTCTTCTACAGCAGTGAGAATTTTAACTCCTGACGCTTTGCAATAATTGTCTAGCTTCTAAAGGTTTCTTTATAACAACAATACAGAGTAAATGACTCACCTGATACTTCTCAAAAACTAGCTCACAGAGTCGTTCTCTCTTTCCTCTAGCATTCCACTGAAAGAGAACAACATTATTAGATAACATAGTAACAGAAATTATACAAACATGAATTATCAAGGATCTCAATGCTGCACATATTGCTGACAACAAAGAAGAAAAGCTATGCTGTGCGACAAGCTTTTATTTAGACAATGTTTTGTTTTGGTTAGAATTTTAATAAGCCCTACAAATGCTTATGCCCCATAAACAATGACAATGTCAAGTAATCACCAGACTGTTATAGTATTTGTTATTGGCTCTGGGGATTATCTTCTCCACAGGACAGTCTCAGCTAGGCTCCTAAGTTTAAAAAGGAAATATTACAGAATAAGAACTATTAAGAAGTGCACAGGAAAGTAGTTATGTGTATACTGAGAGCAAGAAGAAATTTCTAAGATTTATCTGTCATTTTTGGTGTTCATGAAGCAAAAAAAAATAAAAAAAATCAGCACTCCTGAGTGCCAAGGAAAAAAATGAGAGGTTTCCTTTCACACACTTGAGAGGATGGTAGTATCTTCCTGGATGGTTATTGTCTACCAGCTTACTACCTACATACACAACTGACACGCAATTTATCCCACATTACCTTTAAGGTGTGTGTCACATACTAGTACATCATAATGATCAGCTAGTGACGAACTCAGACATAATTCATAGCCCATCAAATTCACCAAGCAGAACATTTTAGACTAGACACAAAGGATGGGGTTATCTACGGTGGGTGTACACAGCAAAAAAAATAAATAAATAAAAAAATGTGTCCCTTGCAGTGTGATGGGAACATAACCTATATGAACCGAGTTTAGGTTAAATACAGTCTCCTCACTTAATGACAGAGTTCCATTCCTAAGAGTAGGGCAGTGAAGAAATTGGTCGTTAAGCGAGGAGCATACTATACTGGTAGTGGGTTTGTGTCAACCATCTTTAGATATTGTTTTAATGTCACCTTTGCACCATTTATAACTTTTTAGTATACAGTGGACCCCGTTTACAATATTATTTCATTCCAGAAGCATGTTCAGGTGCCAGTACTGACCGAATTTGTTCCCATAAGGAATATTGTGAATTAGATTAGTCCATTCAGACCCCAAACATACACATACAAACGCACTTACATAAATACACTTACATAATTGGTCGCATTGGGAGCTGATTGTAAACCGGGGGTCCACTGTATTTCTTAATGTTTATACAGTAGTGTACTGTATATTTTAATAAACAGAATAGAGAAAATCAACTCTAAATACAGTAGAGCCCAGCTTTTCAGCGTTTCGCCATACAGCGTTCCGCTAATACGGCAATCATACCAAAACTTTCTATACCGCAAACAGTCTTTCAAATATGGCATGTGCAAACTTGGTTTCTTTACATTCTCCATGAGCACACTTTTTTTTTTTTTTTTAACACACTGGCCGATTCCCACCAAGGCAGGGTGGCCCGAAAAAGAAAACTTTCACCATCATTCACTCCATCAATGTCTTGCCAAAAGGGTGCTTTACACTACAGTTTTTAAACTGCAACATTAACACCCCTCCTTCAGAGTGCAGGCACTGTACTTCCATCTCCAGGACTCAAGTCCAGCCTGCCGGTTTCCCTGAATTTTTTTTTTTTTCAACAAGTCGGCCGTCTCCCACCGAGGCAGGGTGACCCAAAAAGAAAGAAAATCCCAAAAAGAAAACACTTTCATCATTCAACACTTTCACCTCACTCACACATAATCACTGTTTTTGCAGAGGTGCTCAGAACACAACAGTTTAGAAGCATATACATATAAAGATACACAACATATCCCTCCAAGCTGCTAATATCCCAAAACCCCTCCTTTAGAATGCAGGCATTGACTTCCCATTTCCAGGACTCAAGTCCAGCTATATAAAAATAACCAGTTTCCCTGAATCCCTTCACTAAATATTACCCTGCACACACTCCAACAGATCGTCAGGTCCCAAATACCATTCGTCTCCATTCACTCCTATCGAACATGCTCATGCACGCCTGCTGGAAGTCCAAGCCCCTCGCCCACAAAACCTCCCTTCCAACCTTTTCGAGGACGACCCCTACCCTGCCTTCCTTCTCCTACAGATTTAAATGCTCTCCATGTCATTCTACTTTGATCCATTCTCTCTAAATGACCAAACCACCTCAACAACCCCTCTTCAGCCCTCTGACTAATACTTTTTATTAACTCACACCTTCTCCTAATTTCCTACACTCCGAATTTTCTGCATAATATTTACACCACACATTGCCCTTAGACAGGACATCTCCACTGCCTCAACTGCCTCCTAGCTGCTGCATTCACAACCCAAGCTTTACACCCATATAAGAGTGTTGGTACTACTATACTTTCATACATTCACTTCTTTGCCTCCATAAATGTTACTTTGCTCACACTCCAACACACGTCAAGTATTAAAAAACCATTTGTCTCCATTCACTCCTATCAAACACGCTCATGCAATGCCAGCTGGAAGTCCAAGCCCCTCGCACACAAAACCTCCTTTACCCCCTCCCTCCAACCTTTCCTAGGCGACCCCTACCCCGCCTTCCTTCCACTACAGACTGATACACTCTTGAAGTCATTCTGTTTCACTCCATGAGCACGTATCTCTATTAAATAATAATAATCACCCCTCTGGGCACATTAAATGTCTAATTTTTACATCAATATAGACATTTTCATTAATCCATCTATGACATTTTCTTCAAAATTATACATTAGCCGGGTCACCATATGGAGAAGACCCGGGCCGGAAGTACCGGCGAACCTCTAATGAATGGATGAATGAATTCAAAATTAGATAAGAAACTCGTTACATAGCATATAAACATTTTATGTTTATATACTATGGAGGTGTGATAGCTGGGTGGAGGGAAAACATTATGTCACTCCCCTTAATACATAACGCTTTTGTCTACAATTCTCGGCATGAATTATTCATTACTTCTCCCTTTGTTCATGATGGCATCTAAAGGCAGTTGCTATAAACGATTAAACTCAGTGAACATGGTATGTCATGGTAATAATATGGTCTTGGGCCACATTAAATATTGTGTAGCTATGTAGGAGGGTGTAGGTATGAAGCCCAGGCAGACTTCATACCTACATTATTATTATACAGTGGACCCTCAACTAACGGCGGCATTAAGTAACGACAAATTCGTCTAACGGCGCTTTTTGATGTAAAAAAAGTCTCTGCCAAAGGCAAAAAACTCTACCAAACGACGTTCATCTGAAACATGTCCATGCGCCGGGAGCACGGCCTAAGCGGGCCCAGCTACTCCAAGACTCAGTGTGCCATTGTTATAAGCTGTTGCGGTTGATTCCCCGTCTGCCTGCCATATACAGTATTTTGGATTATTCCAGTGTTTTTAGTGCATGTAACTGCTAAATAAGCCACCATGGGCCCCAAGAAAATTCCTAGTGCCAAGCCTGTGAGAATTATGATGGAAATGAAGAAAGAGATATAGTGGACCCCTGGTTTACGATCAGCTCCCAATGCGACCAATTATGTAAGTGTATTATGTAAGTGCGTTTGTATGTATATGTTTGGGGTCTGAAATTGACTAATCTAATTCACAATATTCCTTATGGGAAAAAATTTCGGTCAGTACTGGCACCTGAACATACTTCTGGAATGAAATAATATCGTAAACCAGGGGTCCACTGTAATTGAAAAATACGAGAGTGGAGTGCGTATGTCTGAGTTGGAAAGGCAATACAACAAATCATGTCTGAGTTGGAAAGGCAATACAACAAATCACATTCAACCATCAGTACTATCTTGGCAAACAGAAAGGAAATCAAGGAAGCTGTTGTTGTGAAAGGTTCAAGTAGTTTTCAAAATGGAAACCGCATATAACTGAAGGTAGAGAGACTGTTATTGGTATGGATAAACGGAAAACAATTATCAGGAGATAGTGTTTCTCAGTCTATAATTTGTGAAAAGGCAAGGAAGTTGCATGATGATTTCATTAAGAAAATGCCTGAAAATAGTGCTGCTGATGATGAATTTAAGGCCAGCAAAGGCTGGTTTGAGAGATTTAAGATTCGTAGTGGCATACACAGTTTTGGTAAGGCATGGTGAGGCTGCAGTTCAGACAAAAAAGCAGCTGAAAAATTTTGTGAAGGACTTTAAGGGAATACACTGAAAACTTAAACCTGAACAAGTGTTTGTGATGAAACAGGCCTGTTTTGGAAGAAAATGCCAAACAGGACCTACATTACTCAAGAGGAAAAGGCACTCCAGGACATAAGCCTATGAAAGACAGGCTGACATTAATGTTGTGTAGTAATGCTAGTGGTGATTGCAAAGTGAAGCCTTTATTGGTGTATCACTCTGAAACTCCGTGTTCAGGAAAAACAATATCGTCAAGGGTAATTTTGGGTGTGTGCTGTGGAGATCAAACAGTAAGGCATGGGTCACTAGGGAATTTTTTCTTGGACTGGTTTTATGGTGTGTTTGGCCCCACTGTGACAAATACCTCCAGGAAAAGAAATTTTTCACTCAAGTGCCTCCTGGTAATGGACAATGCTCTGCTCATCCTCACGGCTTGAAAGAGGAAATTGCAGGGGAGTTTGGTTTTTGTTAAAGTGAAGTTTTTGCTTCCTAATACAACTCCTCCACCCATGGACCAGCAGGTCATTTCAAACTTAAAAAAAACTCTACACAAAAGCAGTGTTTCAAAAGTGCTTTGAAGTGCCCTCAGACACTCAACTGACCCCAAGAGAGTTTGGAAAAGATCACTTCAATATCCTCAGTTGTGTAAACCTTATAGGTAAGGCTTAGGAGGGAGTGACTAAGAGGACCTTAAACTGTGCTTGGAGGAAACTGTGGCCAGAATGTGTAGAAGAGGGATTTTAAGGGTTTGTGGCTAACCCTCAGGGGGCTATGCCAGTAGTGGAAGCTATTGTGTCATTGGGGAAGTCCTTGGGGTTGGAGGTTTGTGGCGGGGATGGGGAAGAGTTGGTGCAGAACGACAAGAAAGAACTAACCACTGCAGACCTGCAAGAG